TATTAAAAGATGAGACGAAAAAATGAGTGTCGACATACTGTTTCTAGGAAGAATGAAAGGTCACAAAAAGATGTTGCATTCTCATCAAATTAGAATGAAAATGCACTTGAATGTTTTTTCCTTCCTCATCTTCAAGGTTGGTCAAATATTCTAGATTATTTGGGGATGAATCTAGAATATTTGAAGTTGAATGTGGCCTTAATCTCGTCCAAGGGGTGAAGGACTCTTGGGATGCCTTGTCTTGTTTCTCTATGAAAAGAAAAGGGGATGAATATAACATTAGATGAATGTGGACACCCTTGTCGTCCACAAAGAGATGGATCTTCCTATTCTATGCTAATATTCATCACTTGATTATCATAAAAAGTTAATTAAATCAACCTTCATTGCATGCTTCCTTGAAGAATATGAACAACCAATAGAATTGGATGATAAAATCAGCTTTGAATGCCTTGAATTGGTGAATAAAGAAGGTCTTTAGTGGTTTATCTCCTGGTTAAAATTGAAAAGACTCTTCCTTGGTTCAATCTTCATACACATGTCCATACATCTAGATACAGAGTTAGGTTTTTTTAAACTTTAAATAAAAACATGAATGAAACATGAATGAACTAGTTTAACTTTATGCAATGAACTTACTGACTTAAATGAAGTAGCTTATTAAATGAAATAAATGCATGAATGAACTACTTCCTAAAATGAATTATAAGCTTAAATGCAATGCATGCTTTAATGAACAACATACTTCTTAAATGTAATGAATATTTATGCAAACTTTAATTTTCTCAAGCAAATTCATGCATAAGTAAAATAAAGTGTTCCTCCCTTGTTTTTGGTCTTTATCCTTCACGTTCCAAGCTTGGTATAAACAAGCTTTCCTTGCCTGCTCGGAATGTTTTGGCCTTTGAACGATTAATGGGCCAACTTTGGTATTCTTCTGGGTTTTTGCTGCTATGAATCACTTTAGATTTCTATACTTATGAGACTTAGTTGACATCATAATTTTCCATGATATTCATCCCCCAATTACTCCATAATAGAAAATCTTGGTTACCGTCTTCTATTTTTGCGATGTCAAAGAAAGAAAAATAGTGTTTTTCACGATGTTAAAGGATAAAAAGGTCTCAGATGGGTATACCTCAAATATATCTCAATGTTTCATTGTTAAATATCAAAGAATTCATTCTCTAAAGTTACATGATTATCATATAATGATGCAAGATTTACTACCAATTGGTTTACGTGCTTGTATGTCGAATAAGGTGACGTCTTGTATAATTGAACTTTCCAATATAATGAGAGCTATATATGGGAAAGTTTTGATGGTTAAAGAACTTGAGTAATTACAAGATCAATACACCTTGACTTTATTCAATATGGAGAAGATATTTTCATCTTTATTCTTCACAATTATGGCGCACTTGCTGGTTCATCTCCCTTACGAAGCTAAAATTGGTGGACTAGTTTTCTATTAGTGGATATATCCTATTGAGAGGTGCTAATTGACTTATATGTATTAGTTCATTATTGAATAAACCTTTTAATTAAAACTATTAATATAATGTTGTGTTTCGTCTCTAGTTTTTGTGCAAGTTAAAGTCTTACTGTTGTAATAAGCATTATTTTGAATGATCGATTGTTGAAGGGTGTTTGGCATATGAATGTCTAGATATTTGGAAGATGTAAAAACAAGATTGAATAAAACAAATAAAAATGAAGTGTTCAATATGAATAACTTAGTTGAGACTTATTTGTTTGGAAGTTATGATGAACCACTCGGAAAAGTTGAAAATATGTAGTTAGATGATAAGTCTTGGGTACAAGCACATCGATATGTTTTTTCTATCACGATTCAATAGATCCCTTATGCATGTAAGTTTTACAATAATAATCCTTATGTATTCATTTAATATTTTATATTTCTCATTCTTCAACCATAAAATCTACTGTATAGTAAGTTTAAAGAAGTCTTGAGATCTCATTCACACTCCCGAAGATTACATCAACAAGAGATTCATAAGTTATTCACAGAAACTTTTCATGAATAGTTAGTGTAGACAGTAACCAACTAAATCCTTGCATGACACGTTTAATGTATAAATCTTCTTGTTTTAATATATTAATATAAATGCTAACTAATTTAGCTTTCATGCGTAATAGGTTTGGAGTATGAGAAAAGTTAGTGAAGATGTTAAATGGATTTCTCAAGGTTTGAATAGAATTGTTAAATAATATAATGTCTTCCTCGATAATAGGTTTAGGTTCCAAATGAAATATCATGAAAGATTAAGAATGACACAAAATGGTAGAGTAGTTGTTACTTCTTCAACTACAAGTTATGCTAGTGCTAGAGACAATAATCATGTGGAGGAAGATGTAGAATATTATAGAATCCTTACGAAAATTATTGAGCTGAATTATTATGGAAAACAAAAGGTTTTATTATTTCGGTGTGATTGGGCAGTGGAGACACCCATTTTCATCCACGAAGGGGAACCACCTGAGGAATATATCACATGGCTTTCCCATGAAGGGGAGTCATGCAAAGATCATCTAACTTGGTTCAGACCCACGAAGGGGAACCACATGAGGAATATACCACATGGCTTTCCCGTGAATGGAAGTCATCCAAAGATCATCTCACTTGGTTCAGACCCGCAAAGGGGAACCACATGAGGAATTTACCACATGGCTTTACCGTGAAGGGGAGTCATCCAAAGATCATCTCACTTGGTTCAAACCCACGAAGGGGAACCACCTGAGGAATATACCACTTGGCTTTCCCGTGAAGGGGATTCATCTAAAGAATTATGACTGACTTAGACCCATGAAGGGGAGCCATCCTTCACTTAGAAGAACCGTTCATAGCATAGATTAAGGTGATAAGGGTTATCTGTCAACAAAAACTTTCAAGTTTGATTTCATTCAGCTCGATGACATATCAACCGCATGGTAGCGGCAAAGAGCTACTTTTCGGTTGAAGCTTAAACTAAGGTCTTTAAGTCAAGAAGAAGACCCAGGTTGGTTTTGATTTAGCAACAAGGAACTATATCTCAGCCGAATTTATAGCATAACTCAAGGCGAGAAGGGTTATATATCAATAAAAGCTTTCGAGTTCGATTATATTCAGCTCGAGGGCATATCAACCACATGGTAGCATCGAGGAACTACTTTCCGGTTGAATTTTCAAATCGAAGTCTTTAAACTGAGAAGAAGACCAAGGTTGACTACGATTTGGCAACAAGAAGCCACCATCCGATTCAAATTCTGAACTACGATTTCAATTTCATGAAAAATGATATCATTTCAAGACTGACTCAACTTCGTGACGGAGAAGTCATTCGTAACTCAATTTAACAGGGAGTTATTCCTAATTTCATTATCAAAGTCAATTTTTAACTCCACAATGGAGAATATTAGACTCAGGGACCCCTTCATACCGAATGAAAATTTGTGTCCTTTTACCTTTGTCCTATTTTTTGTTACACTAAAAAGGACAAAGAGGGGTAGCTGTAGACACCCATTTTCGTCTGGGGCTTATTTAGTATATATTTATTAATATAGTATAGTTTTTGAAAACATTATTGAACATATATAATATATAGTTTTGAAAGCATTTTTCGAAAATATACATAATATCATTTTTTTAATATAATTCCATTTTTTTATTTATTTCATTTATTCATTTATTCATTTCATTTTCTTATTTTTATTTTTTTTAAGGGGTCCAATAAGTCAAAAACAATCCAAGAGGCCGAGCAAGAACCCAACCGGGTGGGCAAGTGATGAGTGTTCTGAATCGGGTCTTACTCTCCATAATTAGTAGTAAAACGAGTGCATTCTGTAATTTTTTATTATTTGGTCACAGCTGGAGACATGGGTCTGATGTGGCAGTTTCTAGAAGCTCCAGTCAGCGTTTCTAGAAGCACAAATGAATTGACCGCACGTTTCTGGAATTCGAATTTGAATTAAACTCAAGTTTAGGATAATAATTTAAACATTATATTTTATCTTTTTATTTTAGTTTAAATAGATGTTAGTATTTCAATTAGGATTTAAGATATTATTTTAAATATTTTTTATTTTATCTTTGTTTTAGGTATTTTAGTTTAAATAGTTTTAAGTGTTTTAATTAGGATTTAACATATTATTTTAGGAATTATCTTTAGCCTATTTTAGGAATTTGAATGCTATAAATACCCTCTTAGGGTAAGCCTAGAAGAGGCTCTCATATATGAGATTAAAACCTTCTTTTTCTCTCTAATTTTCTCTATATTTTCACATATTCCTTTATTTTTCATTTAAATTTTATTTTCAAATATGCTAAGCATGACATTGGTCATGCTTAGCTAATTTTCTTTTAAGTCGAGGGCTAAAACGAAGGTTCAATTCTAAACATGAGAATTGTCAGAAGGATTGGCTTATTGAAGCACATTCGACTTCCTAAGAACACACTTAGCAAAATTGTTTGCTAAGAGGAAACTGAGATTGGAATTAGTTATTGTTGAAACAACATAATCTGAGTCTGCAGCGAAGAATTATCCTTGTAAGCCGACGTGAATTTTGAAGTAAAAATATGTTTTGATGATCCGAGGAATTTTAGGCAAAGCTGAAGTTTGAGGTTGCTTTAACTATAAGTTTCTCTTTAGATTATTTATTTAATTATTTTCTTTTATTTAATTCTTATCTTTTATTTTAAAAACAACTTCTAAAAACCCCTTTTTATCTTTACTACTATTATTTTTTATTTCATTATATTTCCTTTTTATTTATTATTATTTTGTTTTGTTTTGTTTTATTTTTATTTTCTATTTTAACATTTTTTATATTTTATTATTTTTCTTTTCTGAAATTTAATATTTTCTTCATTTATTTTATTTTTCTTTAACATTTTTATATAACATTTTTTTAAAATTTAATATTTCCTTATTTGATTTATTATTTTTTAATTTAATTTTTTTAATATTTATTTTATTTTATAATCTAACGTGCTTCTGTTAATGAAGATCTCATGTTCTTCTGTTAAACAAGATTGTATTTCCAGTTATGAGATTGGAAAGAAAAGAGTTCAAAAATTGTTGGATTCTGTCAAGCGTATGAGCATCACTACATATATGTGGACATCTAATCAAAACATCCATTACATGGTAGTTACATGCCATTTTGTAGATTCTGATTTCAAGCTTCACAAACGCATATTAAGTTTTGTTGATGTGCCTCCACCGTATTCTAGAATATATATATATGATTCACTTTTTAAGTGTCTAAAGGAGTGGAACATTGAGACAAAGGTGGTGACTTTGACAGTGGACAATGCTAAGACTAATGATGTGGTGGTTAGAAAATTGATGGAAAATTTGAATCTTCAGAAGAAACTTGATGTTGGTGGAAAATTATTTCATGTGCGATGTTGTGCACATATTCTTAATTTGTTAGTTCATGATGGTCTTGGAGAAATTGAAGACATATTTCATAATGTTCGTGAGAGTGTGAAACATGTCAATGCCTCTCCGGGTCGATTACATATTTTTAGTGAACTCGCCAAACAACTTTCAATGCAAAAAAAGCACTTAATTTTAGATGTTAGTATCAGGTGGAATGCTACATATGCTATGTTGTCTACTACTTTAGAGTTCAAAGAAGTGTTTGTGAATTATGCTGATCGAGAGTCTACATACACTACTTTACTAAGCGAGGAAGACTGGAAAAAAGTTGAAGAGGTTTGCTCATTCTTGGTACTTTTCAATGAAGCTACAAAAATCATTTCAGGTATAACTTTATTTCTTTTTATTAATTTTTAATACAAAGAATTTACTACTAAATTTTTTTTTAATATTATAGGTTCCGAATATCCTACATCCAATTTATTTCTTAGCGAATTCTTTGGGATAAATGAAGCATTGGATGCAGTAGTTTTAGAAGGAAGTGATTACATGGTAGCTATGACTATAAAGATAAAGAAAAAATTTGACAAGTATTGGGGTACTTGTAACTTGTTAATTTCAATTGGTGCCATTTTAGATCCCAGGTATAAAGTTAAGTTGTTTGAATTTTATTTTAATGAATTTATTTAAGTTCTAATTGATGTCATTCTCTTTATCAGGTATAAAATGAAATTGCTTGAGTTTTCTTTCCATACTATTTATTCACATGATGAGGCTTCGAGAGAAATGCAAATAGTTCGATGTATTTTATATGAGTTGTACCAAGAATATGTTGAGGCTCATAAAGCATCAAATGTTTTTTCATCTACTGATGGGAGTCAAAGTGTTAGTATTGGTGGTACTTCTAAGAGTAGTGTTAGCTCCTTATTCAGTCAGTTTGGTAAAGGTATTAAAACTGGCACAGCTAAATATGACCAACATATTAGAAGTGTCGATACTTTATATTTGTCAAGTCAGAATTAGACACTTATTTGGAGGAAGGAGTTTTAATTGGTGAGTCTGGTGTTTATTTTGATGCCTTGGGATGGTGGAAGGAGAACAATCTTAAATTTAGCATTTTGTCAAAAATGATTGCTGATATATTGGTAATTCTGGTTACTATTGTTGCTTCTGAATCTGCTTTCAGTGCTGGTGGAAGGGTTATTGATCTGCATCGATCCTCTTTAGGAACTAAGATGGTAGATATGCTTGTTTGTGGAGCTGATTGGTATCGTCATACTATGGGTTGGAGAGAAAATAAAACAAGGTATTTTTATGTTTTAAGTTTTATTGAATTTGGTTTTACAATAACTAATATATTTTTGGTTTTTTGATTTTTTGTAGCAAAACAAAGATATCATACATGTTGAGCTTCCTTGAAAATGAGGATGAATGAATTGGTATAACCTCGCTAATTTAGTATATTTTTCATCTTTTGTTATAACTCTTTTAATTTAATATAATTTTATTTGTTTGATTTTGATCAGGATGGATGATGAATTAACGACTGATCATGAATACAAGTTGAATATGTTACGAATATTATTGAAGTTGTTTGGATTTCAAGAAGATTGTTTTGTTGAACAAATTAACTTTAAGACTTTATTATGTTTATATAGCTTATTTATGATTTATGTATGTTTTTGTCGTATTCGAACAAATTAACTATAAAGTCGTGTGAATCATTTAATATCTTTAAAAGATTGATCGAAATATCTGATATCTTCAAACATTTCATCACTGCTAATCAACTCTTACGCTATTATCACTGTAGATTTGGTTGATTTGCATTGTCGACTATTTTTTCATGAAAGAACAATGGAAGGTAGGGCCTCCAACGTTTATGTCTGTTTATGTTCGTGTTCATTTATGTTCGTGTTTGTTTATGTTCGTGTTCGTTTACGTTTATTTATTTATTAAATGAACGAACATGAACAAGCTATATTCCTTAATGAACGAACATGAACAAAAAAAATTTGTTCGTTTATGTTCGTGTTCGTTTATGTTCGCTTATTTGTTAAATGAACATACCTCCGTTCGTGTGCGTTCGGTTCATTTACAGGCCTACCGAAAGGGCAGGTCAAGGGTGCTAATCCTTCCTTGACTGTAACCGACTCTCAAATCTGACATATTTCTAGTAAAACACATATAAGATATGATGGTATCCGATCAACTTAAATATTTTTTAAATGATCGGTGGTGACTCTAACATGTTTTATTTAAGTCGAAGCCTAATTCTGGGCTTACTCGAAAGATGGCCTCGACAGCTTAGCAACTCCACTGGGGACAGGTAAGTGAGTCAAGCCAGAATTAATATTCTATTGTCTTTTTAAGCGATAATAACAAATTTTAATTTTAATTTATTTATTCAATTCTAATTATTTATCTTTGATTATTTTTCAAATAAATAGTTGTACTGACGTTGTTTTCAATGATTTTAGATTTTTTAAAAAAATTATCTCATGATGTATACCCGAGCTTCAAACCCTTTTAAGTGGATGTGAAAGTAACGCCTTCGTGAGAATTTATTCTCCGTATAGGCCTAGCAAGTAACTTTCAGGATTCATATACCTTGTGTCTTCGTGTAAATTTAATCTCCGTATAGAGATAAGAGAATATATCCTCTCGAGTTTAACTTGGTCCACATAAGCTTCTAATAGGCTTATGACTAAGGGTCTGGCAAGCCCAAGGGGGCAGCAGCAAGGAGAACTCGGGTACCTTCTTTAGAACCTAAACTAGGAGACTACAGGGAATGAGAGCCCACCTCGAAACTCTATTTCAAAAGCTATGATGTTTTACTTCCTTATCATTTTTTACTTTTATTATTATGTTATTTCTATCTTACTAACTGATTTTTCTTTCATATTTGTGGTAAAAAACGTCAAGGTACGATTATGATCCGAAAAGACTCAGAAAGAAAAGGGAGATAGTTTGCAATGAAGCTATATTTCAGATTTGGTTAGCTATGCTTCTGTCAACCTAAAGTATAATGATGTTCAAGAACTATGGAGCATTTGGGACAGCTGTAAAAGTGATCAGAAAAGGAGGTTTTGACAGTGGTATGGTGATATTGCACTACTACTCAGTGTGAAGATAGATAAGCCCCTAATTCGAGACCTAGTATAATTCTAGAATTCGGGGTATAACTACTTCACATTTAATCAAGAAGAAATCCTACCCACAATCGAAGAATAGATTATTTTGTTGTATTTCGAACAGAATTAGAATGGATCGGGTTTACATCAAGCACATCAAGAGTCAGCCTTTCAAGAACGGATTAGAAAAATTGACAGGGGTAGATGAGAAAAAGGTTATTGGCATGGAGAAGTCCCTTCAAAGACAAAGAGAGCAGGATGACAGAACCATAGCTGAGTTGGAGGTCATCGTGGACGGGTTCAAGAAACAAGCAAGTGGGCTTCAGATAGTTCCTTTTGATGGAGGATTTCAGTGGCATTTTCGTTGGGAACATGCCCAGCAAAGGGTGAAAGCTAGAGATGCAGTTATCCGAGATTTCTTGGAGCAAGTACAAAAAGAAGCTCGTCATTTGCATGGTTTAGTGAGAGAATCTAGAGTGGTTCGACAGGGTATTCAACCAGTGACAGATGAAGGAAGAAGACTTGTCAACATGTTAGAAGCTATTCGGGGTTTAGAAGATTTAGTCAGAATGTACCTTTAAGATATTTTTGTCTCTTAAAAACATAAAACACTTTTGTCTCAATGAAAATTATTTATAATAACATACACGTTTCTGGATCAATGCCTCTAATTCTCATGCATCATGCATTGCTTTTCATACTTTGCATTCTATTTTTATTTTCATTCTCCATGTTTTTACATTCACATTAACTAAAAGAAAATGTCTAATAAGAAGAGGGAACAAACACCAGGTTTACCTCTACAAGCTTTGGACGCACATTATCCTCACAACACCCGCATAAAGAAAAGAAAAATAGAAGCCAAGATTTCTCAACTCGAAGAGAACATGCTGAGATTGCAAAGGGGGCAGTCATTGTTGTTATCATAATGAGGACAAACATGATGTACAAAAATGTGTCGAATATAGATCCTTGATCCAGCTAATGATGGACATAAAAGAGTTAAAGTTTTACGATGAAAATAATGACTCTACCAAAGCAGATGTTTATGCAACTGGAGATGCGTCTGAAAAGTGAATCAAGGAACATGGTATCTTGGGATGAGACCAGAAGATATCATCATTGTTACCATATAATTGTGTTTCCTATGAAACATTGTTTTGTTTGAATTTATCTTTTATATGCTTGAACCTTTCTTTTAAAATAACATTTCTTTGAGTAATAGAGAATTGTTTAAAATTCAGTGAATATCAAGTATAATGAAATGCACATTTTGGGAAATGAGGTTATAGCCTTTTGACATATACTGAGATCAAATTCTTTAAAAAAAAGAGACCCATATCTTTTACCCAAAAAGGGAAAAATGTTCTCACGTGTAGAAGTATGGAAGTAGACAAGATGGGGCATCTCAGATGCAAGACCGGTTTAGTTTGCATGTCTATTAAAGATGTTCCATGACAATATACACTTTTTGCAAATAGAATGGTGGAATAGACAAATTTAGCTTAGATCAGTTGCTTAGAATTTGAGCTCTAAAGATGAAATTTTATGATTTTCACTGACACTCAGACTATAATAAATTCTTTCTGACAAACTTAAAAAAAATCTTGAAATTGGAAAATTAATGTGATAATTTTAACAATGATGGGGGCATTCCGCTAAAAGTTGTAGGTTGTTAATCTTCGGAGATAATGTCCGAAGCAGCTATGGTGGTAATGTCCAAGCTTTATGAAGTGATTTCGTTTGAGTTTGTTAAGTCAAAGACTTTCTAATACTTGAACCCTTTAACTAAGGGTATTCCGCTAAAGTAATGGGCAATGTTAAGTTCCCTAATGTTGAACTATGTTTTGATATAACAATTAAAGGCAAAATGTTTTTGGACTTGAATTGAATTTGCAAAATGTTTTTGGATTTGAATTGAATTTATTCACAGTTTTAAAAGGTTTCAAAAATAATTCAAAGTCCATTAAAATCAGATTTGAGCAAAAATGCTAAAGGGTGTCAAAGTGCATCCATGCATCCCTGCAGTGCATCCCTGCAGTGCATCCATACTAATGCATGGATGCATCAGGGAATGCATCCATGCATCCAAACATCGAATGCAATTAGTGCATCGATGCATCATTGCCATGCATCGATGCATCCTTGCCATGCATCGATGCATCCTGCCATGCATCCATGCATCAAGGCTGCAACGGCTAGTAACGACTAGTTTATTTGAATTTAATGAACGGGTATCGATGCACCTTGATCATGCATCGATGCATCATGTTATGGGCAGCCTTTTTGAGTAGAAAAATCATCCCCAAATGACTCCAAAACATCCTCAACGGCTATATACAACATCAAACACATTCCAAGCTATAAATACAAGTTGAGGACACTTGAAGAAGTAAGAGAACAACTATCCAAGCAATCAAACACAAGAGAAGAGTTTTTCATTCTTATTTCATCTTTCTCTTGTAAATATTTTGTTCTTGTGAGCTCAATCTTGTAAACACCTACCTTAGAGAGGTTTTCTTGTTTACATCTTTTATCCTTTTGTAAAGGGGAAAGGTTCTAGCTTATCACGTGTAAAAGCTAGGGAAAGGTTCTAGTTTAGCCCGAAAAAACTAGGGAGTTATAAGGTTATCTCTTTGTCCTCAAAAGAAAGAACAAATTAGTGAATTTGTTGGAAAATTCTTGGTGAGGAGCTAAGGTAGTGGGATGTAGACTTTGGTTGAGAAAGTCGACCCACTCTAAATCACTGTGCAATTTTCTATCTTTCAATCTCCTTACTCCCTAAACACAAAACCATTCCGACCCCTCTTTGCAAACCTTTCCGGTTGTCGATTCGAGCTTCTAAAAATCCCAATAATTGGCATCAGAGCCTAACTTGTTAAGAAGGTTTAACCACCTTGAGACGGTCCTAGAAGACGCTCTACCAATTCCTGACACAACCGAGAAGATGGCTTCCACCTCCGGCTCGTTCCACATGGAAGACTCCCTACTAACCGACAAGCCTCCATACTTCAATGGAGTCAACTATCATCATTGGAAGAAATTAATGAAAGTATTCATCCAATCCAATGATCTTGATGCATGGGAGATAATCGAGAACGGCTACTCTTCTCCAAAGAAGAAGGAGAAGAAGCGGAGTGACAAAGAACGGAAGAAAGCTCAACTTAATGCCAAGGCCATGCACATGGTGTTGTGTGCATTTGGTCCTGAAATCTATGAAGGAGTTTCTTCATGTTCAAGTGCCAAGGAGCTTTGGAATAAGCTCGAGGAAATCCATGGCAACAAGAAAGAAGAACCAACA